AGCTTAACACCCACTAGTTCCAGCCTGTTTCTTCCCCAGGACTCCATGTCGTAATAGCAGGCCACACTGCTAGCTAGCTACCCAACACCTTTCTCTCCTGTCACTTAGTAAAAGAAGCATGTTTTGTTTGGTGGGTTTTTTTGAGGGGGTGATGGGCTAGAGATGTCCCCAACTGAAATATGACTTTTCTCAGCTTCTTTCATGCAACACAGTTCTGACAGAACACAGAGGCTGAGGATTTCTGGGAAATCTTTGCTCTCATGATACGGACCCCACCCTTTTCTGTTTCCTTTCTTTTTCCTGAATGAAACTGGGGTAGGTTGACTGGAGCTGTGGCAGCCACCTTGTGACTGGTGATGAAGGGAAATTGAAGAAAATCATAAAACTCTCAGTTCTGAATTTGTGGATCACTGCATTGCCAGCCTCTAGACTTTTTATGATATGGGAGATAATTCACCTTTATCTTCTTTAAGTCATAGATATTTGGCTTGGCTTGGTTTTGTCACATGTATTAGAATACAATCTCTAATCAATGTAGATACAATTGACAGCCAAATTCCCATGTGCTTCCGAAGGAGAGGGTTCTGAGTTGTCAATTATCATTTTAAGACACAAAGAGAAATTCCTTACTTGGAAATAATAGGTAAAAGTCATTAACATCAGAGAAGATATTTTTACATTTAAAATAGACATTTAAAAAATAAATAGGGGCCATTGATTTAGCTCAGTGGTTCCACCACCTGCCTCAAAAGCTCAAGGTCCCGAGTTCAATCCCCGGTGCCAAAATAAATAAATAAATAAATAAGACGTTAAAAACTCTTGGAGCTAAATAGGGATTGCAAGTGAATTTTCTTTTTGGTACCAGGGATTGAACTGGGATCCTTGTGCTTTCGAGTCAGGTGGTGGAACCACTGAGCTAAATCCCTGGCTCCTCAAAAGAGAATTTAAAAAAAAATATGAGTAGTCGCACATTGACGAGATACTCTTAAGTGAAATTAATAGGACACACATGTTTAAATACCAAATAGTTTCTCTGGTGTGAGAAAATGAAAGTGTAAATAAGCACTAAAATGTATAATAGGTAATGTGAAATAGGAAGAAAAGGGGCAAAGGGGAAGGAAGTGGGAGGGGTAGGGAAAAGGATAGAAGGGAATGGGATTAATATGAGAAAATGGAAAAATAGGAACAAAATCTTTGTAAACAGGGAGGAATGGAGGGGTTGAAGGGAGGGCTGGGCAAGGGTGAAAAATAAGAACCAAGAGAGATTATGGAAAGGTGCAAATTTCCAATGATGAATGTCATATATATTAGGTATATATTGTATACCTAAAATGTACCAATGATTAGAATGAATAATCAATAATGCAAAATAGGAAGAAAAGGTCCAAAGGGGTAGGGGTAGTGGGAGGGGCAGGGGAAAGGAAAGAAGGGAAAGGAAAAATGCTAAGAAATGGAAAAAATGGAAATAAAGTCTTTGTAAATAGGGAAGGGTGGAGGGGGTGAAGGGAGGGCTAGGAATGGGGAAAAAATAAGAACAAAGATGCATTATGTAAAGGTACAATTCCCAATCAGAAATGTAATTGTGTTGTATACCTACAATGTACCAATAAAAGAATTTAACAAAATAAATAAATAAATACCAACATGGTGCTCTCTAAAAAAAATATGAGTAGTCATATGTTGTCATGTGTAAAATATGCTTTTAACGTACAGACATCTATTCCAAGGTAAACTAAAGAATAAGACAGCCCTGGAGAGAAAGGTAGAGTGTGATTACAGTGTAGACGGCAGGACCCTGAAAGTGCTTATTCTTCTCCTGGAGACTCCACCGGGCTCCTTTAGGCTGTGACACATCCCTAGACTTGGATCAGGCAGCCATTCAAGTTACTCAGGGTAACGATCTGCCTCTTGCCCGCCAGGCCATGTGTTATATAACATATATGGACCGCAGGGAATGGCTGGAAAAGGCAGGGAAACTGGAGAGAGGCTCTGTGTTTTATCTGAGTTTCATCTAAGGTGGTAAATTAGATGCTATGGAGCCTTTTCAGTCCGTGTGATCAGCACCGTCACTGGGAATGGCAAGAGTTCACTGTTGTGAATCTCCCTCAGTTATTTCCCAGCGTCCCATTAGAGCAGGCCATGGCTGAGGAAGTGAACAATGCAGTTCCCACATTTCTACTTAGATTATCCCCCATACATTTGAGCTGGGTTTAAGTGCCCTGTGATGATCAAATACCTCCAGTAGGAACTGAAAGGTGGGCATTTTTGAAGCTAGAAATTGTACTGCACTATTTGAAATGCTTCCTTAGTGTGTTTCCAAATCTCTGATCATAAGCAAAGATTGCCAAATTACCCACAGCAATCCACCCTGCAGCAGTTAAAAAAAAAAGACTTTTTGAAAGACCAAATTTGAAGGCTATTATTGCTTTCTTCCCTTTGAGATTCTTCCTCTTGATTATCCTGCTTTGCTGCAAGGATTTCTAAACATTGTCACCTCTTAGAAACATCTTTTTGCTTTGTGCTCACACCCGGCCTGTGTGCCATGGACCACAGTCACCAGACTCCTACTTTCCCAGAATCCCAGGTTGAATACTAGCTGTTCTCTTTAGTAACAGTGGGCAGAAATCAAAATGGAAAATATTTTTTTGGAGAAAAAGAGGAGGGGACATCTTTTATTTGTGGTTGACCATATCTTCTGCATACCCTCTCTGTTTTTGATAGGGTCCCACACGTTTAGCCCCATGTTCCCATAGTAGAATTCCGAAAACTACATTTCCAGCTGCCCTTGCAGCTAGATAGGGGCATGTGATCTAGGTCCCACCAATCAAGCATACTCATTCCAGGTTGATTTACAATCAGATCCAGGAAGTTAAATATTGCATGGTTTCTCTTATATGAGAAACTCAAAATATAAATAATTTAAAGAACAAAATAAAGGAGAGATGGTAGAAAATGAGGATAGACTTTTGGGAGATGAGAAGGCAACCTGGAGAAGACAGAAGAGAAAACGGGGAGTAAAAATGATCAAGATGCAATATGTATACGTGGCAATTCCCGAAACAAGTGAAATTATTATGTAGTGCAGACACAGGATAATAAAAAAATTTTAAAAACTTGTTTGAGAGTGAGTTCTGGTGGGAGAGACTTTCAGGATATCATACCCGGGGTGAGGCAGGTGGTGGCAGAGGTAGGAGCAGGGGACTTTTAGAGTAGTCATCACAGCAACCCAATGATGAGCAAGCTGTGAGTATTGAACCTACACGTTCAGGTTCAGGTTCAGGTTCAAAGCCTTGAGTCCCTTTCTCCGGTCTTCCTGATTCATATCCTCTCATAAATTCCTCCTTTTCTACTTAAACTACCAAAGATAGATGCTGTTATCTACAGCTAAAAATTATGGGACCTAGTAGGCACATACAGTTATGTATGTAATACAACACCACTTACAAACAAGCTCAAGAAAGCTCTCCTGGTAAGGAAGAGCACATCCTCAAATAATAGGATTCTAATGCTGACCTGGGCTTAGCAAGGAGGAATCCCTGCAAGGTCAGGAGAGTGAGATGATCTTATCTTTCAGCCTGAACTCTGGGGGAAAATGCTTTCTACCAAAACACAGGCTCAAGTATGTCTATTTTCATGGAACAACCAAACGAGTGTGTAGATGGGGTGATTCTAGCAGCATTGCCTTGTGTCCAAGAAGTTTGCGCCCCCTGCCTGCAATGCCGTCATTCGAGAAAGCTCGCCCTGGGTGTGGAAGATAGTTTTTTTCTTTATGAGTGTCAAATCAGAGGACGAATCCTTTGGAGAGGCTCACCCTCCATCATCAGCTGCATGGGGCTGTAGTTTACACAATCCATGATGATGTTCCTGCGGAAGAGTCCAAGAGGGGCCCTGAGGGGAGGCCGGAAGGGCACTGAAAACACATTTTGCATATTTCCCCAAGTCTCACTTTGTATAAGTTTTGAATCAGTATGGTTTTAAAAGAAATTAAAAAGAACACATCATCGCTTCTGTGGTTCTTTGGCAATCAAAACGAGAGCAAGATAAATCTCTCTCAGGTTGCAAATGTGGCTTTCCTAAATGAAGAAAATCTAAACATACGGCAAAAAGCTTCAAAAATTTGTTAATGTGCAAATGTCATGAAAAAAAATGGAGCTGGTGAGTGATAACAAATTGCCAGGCCATATTCTTTGAAAATGGAGGGAATTCTTTGAATTCATCTTATCTTTTTCCTACTGAGCTGGTTAAATCTGGAGTGGGAGACAATTTCTCCTCCCAGACTAGCAATGAAATTTTGAAACAGTGCTGCTTGCTAAATATGCTAAAAAGAATGTTGTGTTTTGTTTTGTTTGTTTTGTTTTGTTTGTAGTACTAGGGATCAAGCCCAGGACCTTCTCACTGAGCTGCATCCTTGACCATTTAAAAAAAAAATTTATTTTGAGACAAGGTCTTGCTAAATCACTAAGTTCCACAGGCTGGGCTCAAACTTACAATCTTCCTGCCTCAGCCTCCCAGAATGCTAGAATTACAGGCATGCACCTTCATGCCCAGCTGGAAAGAGATTTAAAATGGCACAATGCAAAAAATCTGGAGATGTTTGGATCTCAGTTCCATGTACTATGTGCCAAGTTACCTGATATTTCTAATCCTGTTTCTTCATCTATAACGTGACAATGATGGTACTCGGTTTACAGGACTGTTAAAAAGGATATGTCAATAACATCGGCAACATATCTGGTCATGGTAAGGGCTGAAGACAAGGGAATTACTCAGTGATTAAAAACGGCCAGCCTCTGTCTCCAACCTAGCCTATCTAATAGAGATATAAAAGACCATGAGCTTCTGGAAGGGCCATTAGTCACTATGGGGCCTCAGTAAGTGGCCTTCAGAGGGCAGTGCTGTCAATTCAGCCTGACTTAATCCGGGACCACACAAGGACTGTTAATCTTTGCTACACTGTCCTCTCATTTGGACTTGAAATAAAAGAACAACCTGTGCTTGGAGAAGATGTTTAAGCTTTTATTGTGAATGGTAACAGACTGGGGCCCTGAATCTAATTAACGAGTAGCCTAGATATACAAAGCATTTATTGGAAGACTCCGTTTTGGACAATTGTTCACAGCAAACAAGTTCAAACCAGAAGATACTGCTTGAAAATCATGAATTTAGTCAAGGTTGAAAGATACAAGCAGAGCGAAGTGTTTTGCACAAAAGATCTGTTGGTGATCCAGTAGAACTGATGCTTGCAGAATGCAGTCTCTTAAGGGCTTTGTTCTGCTCCTTTGAGGCCATCATCACCAATGTCGGTTCAACTGGGGGTTCCTTCTTTCCCCTTGAGAACCTGGAGCAACTTGTCTACCAACTTAAAAAAAACATTAGAAAGAATTCAGCAAACACCTTCGTGATTGGGAAGTGTAACCCATTCCCAACAGACCATCAGCATCAGTGGGAAGTTGATTAGGCAAATCTTGAGTCAACCTCAACCTGACTGATTTGGGTATTGTGGGGAGGAGCTCAGTGGGCAATCTGCTTTTACAAACCTCCCAGAGAGTCTGAGCACCCAGTATTTGAAAAATGATGATAGTAATGTCCACTTTTTTAAGCGTCTGCATTTTAGGGGTCTTTTTGTTGTTCTACTTAACTTGCCCCTTGATTTGATTACTCAGGTACGTTTTACCCAGTGTTGGAAGTCAAAAGTATTATCCCCAGAAATGTATTCCTAGAGTAGTAGCTGAGAAGGGGAGGTGGAGTTTCATTCCCTCTTGCCTTACTTTGGCAATGATTCCTTACAGCAATCAGACCCAGTTTCCAAACTTACACACTGCAAACATAGACTGTAAATGGTAGTAGTGTGGGGCATCTTGAGAAGAGGTGTTAATTTGGGTTTCTGCCAAAATTCTAAATTTATTGTACTTGCTTGTTGTGTTTTTGCTCGATTTAATTAAGACTGAAGAAAGAGTAGCTACAATAAAAAAACACACACACACCCTTCTGTGTTCCCCTATAGCAATATTTCCCCCAGTGAAATGAGAAACCAGAGCTTATTACCTTTTACCCACACTAGAGTTTATTACTCTTCCCAGGATTCTCTGGCAGTTCAGATTCCCCAACTTCCAGACTGGTTATTTGTTTCTAATAAAGGAACTACTGCTATTCTTAGGCAAATGGTTACCTGCTATGTGACTCAACTGTTTTGAGTAGGTGTTAATGAGCCCAGGGCTGGGGCTCAATTCCCACACTTAGCAATTAGCTTCGCTTTCCTCACCCAACCCAGACTGCACCATTAAGGCCTGCTACCATCCATCCTGCCAAAGGAGTCTCTGGTCAAAAAAATGCTAGGGTGTGGGGAAAATTCATAAAGGTGTTTCCCCCACCCAGCCCAAAATATTGAATTGAGAGGTCTGGCTTAAGAGAATAGAAGCAAAGTAGAAACGAAAAAATCTTTCAAGTGTAACTCTTGAAGATCAAGATCCCAGAGGCGGGGATGGTTGGGGATAGGGAAGAGCTATGTTTGACGTGGGAGCTGGCTTCACTCTTCCTGCATAGAAACCACTGGGTTAACTGGAGGGTCATTAGTTCTTCTGTAGTACATGTTGCTTTTTCTGTATGTTGAACTACTTCTGGATCATTTCACATATTAAGAAGCAAAACCTTCCTATGTCTCATATGACCGCTGTGCTTTGACATTGAGAGGCATCCTTCAAAGTGAGGGCAAGCTAACACATTTACTTCCTTTCCAGAACAGCCTCTGGACTCCATTCCCAACCCCACCTCCTTTCTTCAGGTCCACTAAATAAAAGGAAAAACCTAAGGCTTCAAGGAACAAACAATGGCCCCAAATTATAAGATGATCCCAAAGGTAATTGAAACCTTCATTTTATCACAGAGCCATCTACACCCACACTGAAGATTGTGCATTAGGCCCTGAAGCTGACCTGAGCACCTTCTGTTATAGAAACCATGAGACAAAAATTCGATTAGCTTCAGGATGGAATTAAAGGATCTATGAGAAGAGCACAAGTAAAAGGAAGATTAAGGTTAACATTGAAACTTATTGGTCATTCTTGATCATAAAGTCCTGGAGCCTGTGTGTCGTGACCAAGTAGTACAGATTCAGTGCATATTCCCACACATCTTTCTGAGTTAAGCATTACTGTCATCAAAACTTGGGGAATGTTCAGAGTTTCTAACTACAGCTCTGGGAGAGTTGGCAACAGGATTTTGTGTTTTATTACTATAACGGGAGAGGACAGCATGTGTGTATAGTTTTTAATTTTTAAGACAAGTCCTTCAGCCTTTCAAAGCTCTTGCTTCTAATTCTGGCAATACTCAGCGAAGCTATTAAACTTTTCCCCAACTCTGGGAGATTTATGGATTTCTAATAGAACTATCTCTAGGCACTCCTCCTTTCTGAATAAGAATTATGTTTCCAGTTCTCATAACCACATACTTTCATTGAGACAGAATCTCCTAAGCAAGAGGAGTGATAAATTACTATCTTGGTCTCTGCAAAGAATAAACTGTCAAATTTGTTTTTCATGTTACCAGGAAACATGTCCAAAAGAATGATACCAACATGTGTACTAATTGTTCTTGAGGTAGAATAAAATAGGATAGGCTTTCTAAACTTGAAGAAAAAAAAAAGAGAAGAAAAATAACACATAAAGAGGTAGAGGAGAAAGCAAGGCCTGATTTTTTCAAAAACCACCTCACATTGCGAGAAATACTGTCCCTTTTTGAGTAGTCATTCTCCATGGCTGCCCATTCAATCCATCCTATAATTCTGCCACTCAGAGACTTTTTGTTACGTTCTTTCACCATTGCCTTTGAAGCTTTGAACATTTTTCGTAGTATGGGAAGTTTTTGATACTTAAGGAAGGACTTGAATTTTTCAAAAGATGCCCAAGACCAACAGAACCAAGTTTAGGGAATAAAGCAACTCAAATTGGATGCTACTGCTTGGTTCCAAACATGGAACACTGTAGATTAATAACACAATTGTGCATGCTGGGAGGCAGTATTTTAGGAATGAGCCAGAAGAGCAAGCCTATTCCAATGTGTGTAGAAGTTATTCGGGGGGGTTTTATGCTGGCAATTTTTGTTATTTTTCCAACAAATGAGAAAGGCCCTGTAGCTGGACAGCCACCTAGAGGAACTCCAGCAAAGCACTTTACCAAGAAAAGCCATGAACAGGTAGGGGCTGAGAAGTCAATCACAAGTTGACAGAGCCTTCAAAGCTTGTGATCCATCAACAAAGAAAGGGAGCTGATCACCTAACACTTGTACACAGGTGTGACAAGAGACCCATTTTGGGCTTTGTATAAAGTTGGTACTTATTTCTGTAGTGGTTGCTTTAATCCAGATTTTCTTTCTGAATAAAAGCTGCTAAAGGCTTTCTCTCTAGATGTCTCATGCAACAATTCAGCTTTTAGTTTGCATTTGGCATAGAGAATCCTCAGGAGACATTGGGCAGCAAAGCAGCCTTCCTCCAGAGAAGCTGGCAGAGACTTGGCAGAGACTTGGCAAAACCAGTTCCAAGGCTCTGCAAAGTGACCTTGATCAAAGAGCTAACCACCATGAAAGACTGAACCAGCAGGGTCTCCAAGCTGTGTGAATGACAAGCAGTATTATTTATTGCCAGAAACAAGAAAAGGAAGGCCTGCTAGAGCTAGATACAGGTATTCTGCATATTGAAGATCAATGAGGACAATTCCCTGGAGATCCTGCAGGCACAGACTGTCTGAGGCAGACTGAACACAGGCTTTTGCCCTGATTTCACCAATGAAAAGCTCTGTAACTGGTCTCAGTTTCCTTATCTCTAAACTGGGCTGTAGCTCAGAGGCAGAGCATGTGTTTAGCATGTGGGAGGAGCCCTGGGTTCAATCCCCAGAATGAAAGAGAATAAAATCTTGCAAGTGATGCCATAGTGAGCATAAACCAAAAAAAAAATGAGATAAACTGCTTACTTGGATTATACTAAACATTCAATAAAATTAGCCATTATTATTATTGCAAGTATTATTTTTACCATTTAGTGTATATTCCACAGAAACTTCTTTAAAGTTAGTGATAATTACTTCATTTTCAGTTGCCTTGTTTTCTTCCTATAAAATGTATTCTTGCCTTTGTTTTACTTACTTTGTAGGTAAACATTGCTAGAGTTTAGTGTTAGTATTTTTCTCTATCCTCTATAAAATTATATTCAGGGCAAATCAGTTGACCCCAGATGTATTCACCAAACTTTGAAATATTAGAATGAAACCTGAGTCAGGTTATCCTGGAACAAACAAATAGGAAGAAATACTTCTTTGGATATAAACAAGAATACTGTCTTCTAAAAATATCTGTGAATAGGCTCTTCCTTCCACTGGTGCTTATCAAAACTAAATATATCTGTAGACCAACAGGGATTTGCTCAAATACAGTTCATAGTTTCACTATCAAAATATTCTGGTAAGGCTCACAATGCATAACTTCAAATAAACACAATTGCTAATAAAACTCCTACGTGGAGCTTGGAAACAACAACTTTTTATGTATTAAGAGGGGCAGTCATCTAGCATATCAAGAAGAAAACACAGTGTGGAAGTTGTCTATTAGTTAGCTTCCCATGCTTTGGTGCTGGCCTATGTGGTGCTATGAAGACATATAAAATAAGCAATTTTATATTCCCCTAATCAAACTTCCTCACTTTCCAACTGTCCCCAAGTACCTCCCATTCCACTTCCCAAGTATGTTTGATGTCACTTTTGCCTGTTTAACCTACATCTTTGAAGTCGCTGCTATCCTCTGTGTCCCAAGTGGGCTGGTAGTTGCTTAAGGGCTTGAGTTGAGGTGGCCAATGACTTCTGTTCCCCTTTGCTTCTATGAGGCCCAGCAAATTCCTTGTAGCTTCTTTCCACTGAATGTCTTCCTTTAGTTGCTCCTTCAAGCTGTCTCCTTCAAGCACCTGTGGGGACTCACCTGTGCTCTTTTTTCCCATTAAGTGCCCTGTAAAAACAAAAACAAATCAGAATGCCAGATTTAACCAAGGAGAGTGAATGAAAAAGAAACACCTATTACACAGTATTTGTGCTGCTTCCTTTAAATGCAAAATAAATAGCAGTTTATGATTAAGAGTTAGTTCATACACAGCAGGAATTTTGCCCTCTGTTCATAATGTGCAATGAGCTGGGCAGAATTCAGATCTGTACCCCAGGAATCCTGGGTTTGGTTCCAGCTCCTCTACTAACTAGCTAGGCAGCCTCAGCCAGGTCATCTCGCATCCCCAGTCTTTAATTTTCTCAACTGTAAAATGAATAGGGTGGGCAAGATTAAATCTGAGGAAGCTTCCAGATCTAAAATTCTATAACCAATTCTGTAGTTACTGACTTCTGTTCCCAAATGAAAGATGGAACTTAAACATCTTTCTCAGCCAATTGTGAATTGCTGCTGAAAATAAGAGTCTTGGTGTGTTTCTTTGTGTGATTAAAAAAAAGAAGTGTTGTTTTCCCCTTGTCTGTAATACAAATGTACCAAAGGAATTTTTCATTTAAACTTTCTCTCAGAATTTTAGCTTAGATTGAACCTAGGAAATGTCACCAAGAATTTATGGTTTGTTAAAAGTGTAATGAAAAACAAGTTGAAAACAAGTTCTGACTAACACTAGCCAGCCACATAATGCAGAAATTTATCTTGGATGTGTGATTAATAGCCAGTGGAAGCTTCTTGGTGGCTCCAAGGAGGTGTCCTTACCATGTAAATAAATAAAAGCTGCTGGCACGGAGACCACAGCACTGCAAACATACATGCAACATAGGGTCACAAGAGGGTATAGAATCCAAATTCTGCCTTCTTAACACTTCAGTTCATTGCTTAAACATACTTACATTATTTGACTTTCTTCAGTTGGTTTTCCCCATGTTTCTGAAGTTTCTAATATCAAACAAACCTTTGATGCTTTTGGTTTTCACCACACAAGGGAAAGGTCTTTGTGGTTCCACCACAGAGTGCCGTTAGAAGTATTTAAGGCAAACATCACAGAAATAATATTTAAAAGATCTTCAGCCACTTAAAATTGAAGGGGGCCCTTTCCCAGCAGCTCTGTCTGCCAAAAAAGAAGTCTTTATCATCTTTTTGTTGCTGTCATGTCCTGCAATTGACAGTTAACAGAATGTTTAAATGTGGATTGTTTCACTGGATCCACATCATAGTAATTTTCACCAAAATAGGTTTGGTGAAAATGAGTCTTGCCAGAGGTGACACAGATATAAGCAAAGGACTGAAATCAGCTTAGAGCCCAAATTCTAGTATATTGTAGTATCTCATAGTGTATTTTAACTTCCCAAGAATGCAAGGAAGCAACATATCATGGCTCAGTCTGGAAACAAGGATAAGGTCTACCAAAGGCTGATGTTATAATGGAATAGGGATTGTATATCGTTATATCTTGTCTCATTCTGTGACTATGAAAATTAGTTCTGTGAGCACTGGGGAACATGCAGGTGAGGCCCTGAGTGTGAGCACTTGCCAAGTCCCTATGACATGAGCCGTCCCACCATTGCAAGGTGCTGTGGAGGACACTATCCCTGCTGAAGGACTGGAATTCTGAATGGCTGGCTCTTATCTGCTTGGTCAACTTGTCTATCCACTAAACAACTTTGCACTCAGCCCCACAGCTTCCCAGGAGGCACTGATGCATCAGCTTCATTTATGTGGAGGAAATTGAGCCTTGATGATTGGAAGGCAGGATTGGAACTGTGATGCCCCCAGTAATGACCTCAGTCACTCTTGTCGTCCCTAATTTGCTTATCATTGAGTTAGGATGCTGGAAATGAAAGAGGAGTTATTGCCAAAGAAGCAGAGAGGTGATGGAGATATTTTGCAGATGAGAACTCATTTTTGTCATCCTTGAATAAATTTGTGAACTTTTCTCTAAAGGAAATATGTTTTCTACAAAGGGTAATGTTATTGCCATTCTGTGATTTATTTAATGAAAATCCTTATGACATTGGACATAATTTCACGACTTGCCTGATGGGTATGTGTTGTGTTGAAACCCCTACCCCTAGTTACAAACTGGTTATTAAGGAAAGCATGCCATCTATAACACTCCAGGGAAACACACACTGCCCAGTTCCTATTTCACTTTTAAGCTGACTACTATTATCCAAAGCACTGTCTCCATGGCAACATGGATGCTATATCCACTTCCGCTCTTCTCCTATCATCATCTGTTGCATGTTCATATCAAAAAAATGGAGATCTCAGTGTAGACAAAAGACAGGCTCAGAAAAACAAAATCTTGATCTGGTGAGGGGAGTGGAGCTTCTGTCTGTTTTAATCATTTAAAGATACCACTGAAGGGGAGACTTGAAACATAAATGGATTTCCTTAAAGCCAAAACCTGAAAATTATCCCAACATAAGCAGGGATACATCAAGATATAGGTAAAAGGGTTGAGTACTTCTAAGCACTGGTTTTTCTGGAGTCACACTCCCCCCCCCCAACCTCTCTCAGTGCTGAGGATTGAACTTGAGGCCCAGGACAGCTTGGCAAATGCTGTACCACTGAGCTACACCCTCAGCCCTGGAGTTACACTTGAAACTCAATTTTGTTTTCCAAGGCACCACTTCCATGTCAAGCCATTCTGTGGCTGAATACTAGTGCTTCCCAATTCAGCCTTCTGGGACATGCTTCATACCACAGTTAGAGTCATAGGTAGAAGCGCTTCGTGGGAGCAGAGAGAATAGTCACCAGTGTTAGTGTTTACATATATTTTCGTTGTGCAAGCAAAACACTTCCATGAACATCAGGCCACGTAAGAATGTGTTATGTTTTCAAGCTCTTAACTCATTTTCCTTCGCTGCACAGTGCTTCTCTCAGCTGGAAGAACCAATTCACTTAACAAGCCTGAAAATGCCAGCTTCCTTGTGGACAGGAATATGTGTGTTAGTTTTACACTAGTAAAACTCCTTGACTGGAGAGGGTAAGTATTGTTTTGGCATAATTGAAAGCTAAATTTGAAATCTATCAACATTATTCATCCTCACCGATGCTCATATTTCAACAGTGAGTATGTATACCCTGAGCAAACTTCTCACGCACAATGTAGTTTTAGGCTGAAATGTGATTTCCTACTTCACTTCCTCTTTCCCTTTCTCTTCTTCAATTCTACAGCCAGCAAAGGGAGGAAAAGGAAAAAGTGTGCATGCAAGAATAAATTTTAAAATGTTATTTGGGGTTGCCACTGGATGATATGCTTTTGGGTTAGATATGCCAAGTACCACAATAAAGGTTAAATAAATGAAGATGCCCTAAACATCTGGGCTCCAGATGTGCTGCAGATGTGCTTCAGAACAACAGCAAATTGGGATTGGCTTGGCTTACAACAGAAATAATCTGATGCTGTCTTCCCAGTTAACTCTGGTGTCCTCCTTTTGACCTGAAATGGCTTCCTAATAGTGAACTATATTAGTATAAAAATAGATGAGAAAAAAAGGTTGGAAGTCTCAACCACCCTTCCTGCTCACTGGCTGGTGGCTGGACTAGATGGTACAGTCCCTCGATTTAGGGTCCCAGAAGCCCTTTTTAAGAATCGTTGATTTTAAGTTTGGGTTCTTTGACACCTTCTGAGAATCCACATTCTGAAAATCCAGGGGTTCTCAGCTTCCCCCATGCACCTCTTCACTCCAGGCTCCGGGTTCTTGGCTGCCCTCAGAGACCACAACTCCACGGGCCCCTGGGAATCCCAAGACTTGCCAGCTGATACTTCTAACAGCTATTGAAATTGCTCTATTGTTACCCAGCGCTCTCACTTCTCTGACAAAGTACACAGAGAAGCCCTGGAAGCAGTTCCACTTCCAACCCTCCTCCAAAATCTTCCTCACAGTGGCGCAGAGGGCCTGTGAATCAGTTGACACTTGAATTAATAAGTACCTTTCCAACACACTTTCCCTGCTTCTAAGTAGATGATTAAGAAAATAGTCACACGCGCGCGCGAGCACACACACACAGACACACACACACACACACACACACACACACACACACACACACACACAATCTCTTCAGGGATGGGCTAGCTTCCCGGGAAATGTTGGAGCTGTTACATTTGCCTGGTTGGAAGGAGGACCAGGGACTTTGGACCCTTTGCATTTTCCGAGGCTATCCTCGGCGAGGTCCAGAGGCCCAGACTGCGGGTGACGTTGTCGGGAGAGGGCGATACTGCCGGGCGCCAGTGGCATCTCAGTTGCAGGGCCGCTCTAGGAGCCGCGCTCCCCAGACCCGCAGAGGGCCGCCACTTCCACCCACCGCCCGGGCGTGCGCTGAAGTCTTCACCCCCGGGTTCCCGAGGTCCGACTAGGGAACCTCCAAGCCCGTGCCTGGAGAGCAAGACTTGTTGGCAGAGGAAAGGGGAAAAAAGCGAGGGAAGAGTGTGAAGTCTTGAGTCTAAAGACACGGAGAGAAAGCTGGGGTTCAGGGAACAGAGACGCTAGGATGAGCAGGAGAGCAAGCGCGATTCCTGAAGCAAGCTGGCTGGAAAGAGGCAGGAGTGTGGAGAAGGATGGACAAGGGAAGGAATTTCCCGGCAAGGGGAAGAGAGCCGAGAAAACCCAGGAGAGCCCCAGTTGCAGGCGGGATTCAGGCACAGGCACCTGACCGGATTTGAAACCCAGGATGGGAGCGCTGCGCCCTGGTCCCCTCACACCTGTGGCTCTGCCCGGCGCAGTCGCGCAGCAGATTCCAGCCGTCGGCAATTGGAGTTGAAGGGGCCGGGCTGCACCAGGGCTCCGAGACACACTCCGGGGACCTCCCTCCCCAAAGTCGCGCAAGGCAAGACTCAGGCCAGACAGGGTAGACACTGGGTGTACCAAAGCAGGTACTGGGTAGGTGCGGGTAGGTACTGGGATGGTGATCTGCCCTCAAGCTTGCGTTTGTTTGAAGACCCGCGGGCTGGCTGGGATGCCCTGGGGAAAACAGGATGCGCACAGAAGCGAAGCGAGCGGGAAGCGATCAAGCGACCAGAGCCACGGGCTTCTCCGGAGTGGGAAGGGTGCGGTGGAGCTCTGGGAGACTGCCGTAGGGGTTTCAGCAGCAGGTTCAGAGCAAACTCAAACCCCAGAGCCACAGGTCCCCTGCGGCTGGCTGAGCCCTCGGAGCACAGGAGCCCACGACTCTCACCTCCCGGACACTCACCCACCGCCCAGTGGTTGCCGCGCGGGTACATCTTGGCCAGCACTGTCCCTCCGCCCACCGGCAGCGAGGCGGCCGGCCCCCGGGGCGCCTGGCAGAGGACGAGCGCCAGCAGGACGAGCGGGAGCTCGGGGCCGCGCATGATCTCGGCGGGAAGCCCTCGGAGCGCCGCGGCGAGGCTGGGCGAGGCTGGGCGAGGCTGGGCGAGGCTGGGTAGCGAGTGAGTTCTCCCAGCGGCGCAGCGACGGGAGGACCCGACCTCGGAGCAGCTCCGCCACCGCCGTCAGCGCCACTGCCGTAGCCTGCACTCGGGCCCCGAATTTATATGAAAGCCCTGGCGCTGGGAGGGGCTGGGGGCTCTTCCGACGCGGACCCGAGCGTTCTGACGTCTCCGTAAAGAGCCCGGGCGCCGGACGCCCGGCCCGGCCCGGGAAATCATCCATCTTCCTGCGAGTGCTGCTAAGCTGGACGGACAGCGGTCCCTCTCCCCTCCGCTCGTGATCCCGTCAGTTCCCCACAGCGGATTAATTCCTCCCATCCTCGACGCCTTGGTTCCAGCCCAATTTTGTGAACTTCTTCCTCTCCAGCTTCACCCGGGTGCCTTCCATGTTGGAACCCACAAAAGCGACGTGTGTGGGGGGTGGGGTGATCTCAGGGTGTAAAAGGGGTGCGCGCCAAGGATGGACGCTTTGGGGCTGGGTTTTGCCAGAGGGGCTTGGAATCGTGATTACTGCGTACTTTTGATGTTCCCGACCTCTCCCCTCCAAGGACCACCTCCCCGGGACTTGTCTCCCCCTTGCAAATTTCCACCCCGAACCCCACGCAGCTGCCCTATCCCACCACGGCTTTCCGAAACCCCCACCCACTCACCCCGGGCCCACTGGCAAGAAGGGTGCAATCAGAGCTAATGCTGCTCGGATTAAACACACGGTCCCTTCAACGAGCTGCAGCTTCTACTGTATAGAAGCGGAAGCCGCTTCTCTGCCCATTTCCCTGGGCTGCGTCTCCTGGAAAGCTCACACTGTCCAACTGCTGAATGCACAGCTCTCCAGAGCTACTCAATTTCCTCTGCCCCTCTGTTCTCAGAGCTGAAGACTGGTCACCAGCCCAATTCCCGAGATTCTAAATGCCATGGGTGCTCAGACCAGGCACAGCAATGCAATAATAAATAGAAGGTGGTGAGATGCTGTTGCCCACGTTTTGGCTGCCAGAACTGATTTTGTGGTTGTGCTTGTAGTAGGGGAGGTCTATTCCTCACCAGGGGCTGGCAGATTGCCTCCCTGGTGAGTCCTCGGTGTTGGTGTTCCCTGTCAACATGGTGTTGATTGGGAGATGTACGCTTCAGCCTAAGCATCCAGTGATTCAGTACATCTGTGCCTGTCTTAGGTGGTCACACACAACACATTGCGTGACAGAATTCTTGGGCTGTAAAAGTATTTTTGTGGATGTTCCTGGCTCTAAGGGGAAAATTCTGATTTTTAAGATCATTTTTAGTAGCCAAGGAAATACAATAATACTATCCTGAAGGAGTGATCTAAGTGAAAATCAAAACGAAGAGTCTCCAGTGGGCCTGGCTGGATCTCTCCTGGGTTCCCAGACTCTGCATTCTGCCCCCAGGCCCCATCTATGAGCAGATGTCCTGCTGACAGGTAACTGATTGACCATAGGCTTCCACCTCCCACTCCTGAGCCTGCTTCCATGCAGGAACTTGGTCTTTCTCCATGCCTGCAGAGCACCTAGATCACAGTGGTGTTCTAAAAGTATTCAATGAGGGAACGACGTAATCTAAGAAATGCTCGGGTTTCTACAACTGCATTAAGGCCTTTTCTCTCTTGTAGAAATACATCCTTTCCCTTTAGTTTAGTCAAGATTATTTCAGAATCTTGTAAATGATGTTTTTCCTCCCACGGAACTGAGGGGAAACCACTGTAAAAAACACTCAGGAGTAAGAATAGTTCTAAGAAAGCACAACTTTTCTGCTGATGCAGGCAGCCCACTCTGTGTGTGTGTGTGTGTGTGTGTGTGTGTGTGTGTGTTATTTGCAAGCCAGGAAGTACTGGGCCCTCTATTTACCCCAGCTTTTGCTTTTAATACCCCAGCCCACAAGCTTCTGCCCCCAGACTGTGACTGGTCCATGTTAACTGCTTTGGCACCTAGGAGAGCAGCAATTACAATCTTGTTCAGCATTGCATCCAGTGCCTGGCCCTGGCCTAGGCACAGGGATAGGATTCAAAATTTGTGAATGGGTGAATACACTGTCCTATAAGTATAGGAGATGAGTCTAGTCCTGTAGCCAGAAAAGTCAGTGACTTGTTACCGTTATATGTTTGATTTGGCTGGTATGAATGAGCCTCAATAGATCCTGGCTGAATGTCTTCTCATGTGGATTTTAAAATCATCACCACTGCCTGCCGGATAGGATGATTAATCCCTCTGACTTAGGGGAAAGCTAAACTGCTATGAGGAAGAGATCTCGTAATGCAACAACCCATCCAAAAGAAAAGTTTGTTTCATTTTTGTGTCCAGGGCAGGTGTTCCAGATTGGTAGGCAACCCATCCTATGCCGATATTCAGGAACCTGGATCCATGACATCTTCTTCTTCTACTGTTTCCTAACACAATGCTACACAAAGGGCTGGCTGGCCTGTAGGAAGTTTAGGAGCTTGCATCAAAATGTAAACCCATACACGACTTCCTTCATTGAGAATATCTTGCTATGGAAAAAACTCAGCTGAACTAACCAATGTTGCTCTCACTTTTTGTGTGTGTTCTGGAACAAGCTTTTAATCTCTTTGTACCTGGGTAACAGTGTCTGAGCTGTTGGACCACATGTGATTAGCATGTTCTAGACCACTGCCCCTTCTGCATGGCTCGTGTTGCAGCTGGCAGGAAGGGAAAGTAGAGGAGGCATGCCCACTTTCCTACTATACAGATCAAATGTAGCACTGATCTCTTCTGGATACATTGCTTTGGGTAAAAGTCATCTCACAGGTGACAGGTAACTACCAGAGAGAAGTTGATAGTCATGTTCCAGGGTCTGCTTGCTTCATTGTGGAGGAAGGAGCTGATGAAGTTTGATGGGCAGCTGAAAAACTGGCAGAACCAGCCTAGGGTGGCTAAAGTACTTGAAAAGTTTATCAAATTTTATTTAAAATACAACTAATCTACATGGTTGGGTAGGAGGAGTCTCTTCACTGGAAGGAGAGACTGGACCTCTAGCCCACCTCCTTTGTCCTAAAGTTCTAGTCCCCTAGGAGTGTTTTTGCCACCATCATGGGCAGCATCCCTACCCCTTGGATTCAGGGAGCTGCTGTGGCCCCAACTAGGACATTTCTTCACTGAATTCCCCATTCAAGATCATTCAATTTAATCTTTTAAAGGAATCTGATTTTCCAAAATGGAAAACTGGGCCGGGGATTTAGCTCAGTGGTTCTGGCACCTGCCTCGAAAGCGCCAGGTCCCGAGTTCGATCCCTGGTACCAAAAAAAAAAAACAACACACACATAATGGAAAACTATCATTAGAGCAAGCTAATTTCTGTGCTAGATTGTGAGTTGCAAGACCGCATAATTTCCTTGCCTAACCCAACACCGCAGCTCTAAATCCCATGAGGAGATGGTCATACAAATAATGACTGCCATGTTGTGTGTGTTATGTGTGCTGTTGTGGGGCTGTATGTGGTTGTTGTGTGTGTTTCCTCCTCATAGTTATACCTATGAGGTCAGGGTTATTTATCCCATTTTCTAGTGAAGAATCTGAGGTTCAGAAAGGTTAGGTAATTTGCCTGATACCCAGACAGTAATCAGCAGAGCCAAGATTTGACCTAAGAGCCATCTGATTCTCAAGCTCTGAGTGTGGTAAATCTGGTGGTAATTAAACCCCAGGCTTTTCTAGGGTTTAAAAATATTTGCCACCCAGAAGGCATAAAAGAATATTAAAATATCATTTTAGAAATGATATGAGGGGTTATGTTTGAAGGTTTGGGGGGACCCTCATGGCAGCCTCTCTGTTTGCTTGTTCTGTGCTGTTCTCCATCTCTCCCCCAGCCCACCCTGCCTCTAGATTTGTGTGCGGCACCTTCCGCTGGTTAAGTGGAAGTAGGCAGAAGTGGTGGGAACATAAAATTTTCTTTTTGGAGAATAACAGGCTTACAGTTTTTGCTACAGCAAGGATGGCCAGAGTCCCAAAATATAGCCCACGGTGTCTGAAACTGAAAATATATTTCTGAGACTCATCTACTTGAGCATCTTATGGCACAATCCTCCTGAATTCCAGATATTATTTGCATGGCACTGATTCCCTTCCTGAGGTCTTCTGAGTAACCAGATGGATTGGAGGGGATGACTATCCTGGATTCAAACTTTTAATTTATTTAAACTAGAGTTTCTCAACCACGACAATTGTCATATTTTGGGCCAAATAATTGTGAGGGCTGCCTGTGTGTTGCAGGATGCTGAGCAGCAGCCCCGGCCTTTATCCACAGGATGCCAGTACTTCTCTTCTCCAGTTGTGACAACAGAAATGTCTCCAAATGTTGCCAAATGTCCTGGGTTGAGACCCACTGTCTCATCTAATTGAGAATGCTCTGACTCCACCCTTGGAGGGTGCTGGTGTCCACACCAGGAAGTCTCCAGGGCTAGAGCACTCACTGGTTCTCATCTTTGGGGAATACTGAGTTAGAAAACTCCACCTAGTGAACCTTATAGAGGGCTCTTGTACAAACCTTAGTTGTGTCTCTCCACCATGTGGTCGTATTCTACCCCATGCTCTGGTCCCCATGGCAGTTGCTCAAGTGCTTATGGACACCTTGGTGCCACCTCTGATTCCTGTCTATACTAGATGTACTCCCAGCCTATTAGCAGCTCCTCACACAGAATGATTGTTCCTCTGTTCTCCATCCTAACTGGATCGATTTTGAACATTCCCCACGTGACTGTTTCCCCTTTAATGTTGAGAAAGTGAGAGACAAGGTGCTGAGTATGGCCACAAAGTCATGATCATGCCAGAGGGAACTGAGGAAGCTGGTGAATAAGAGGCATGATTTTCCAGAATTTTCCACAGGTATACTCTTACGGCAGCTGGCCTCCTGGCCAAAGGACCTAGGCCTGGGAAAATGAAAGCCACTGCATACTCCAAGTCAACCCTACCTGGAGCTGGGAAGCCTCAAATCTTCCGCACAGACAATATAGAAGTGAGGACCAAGGCAATAATTCCTCAGATAACACAGGAAGCAGAGTAGGTCGTGGTGTCAAAGGTGGTGTTGGCACTTCTGGGGCTGAGCAATTGTGTGCTT